GGGGGGGGGTGATGGCTTAAAAGGCAAAGGAGAGGGGTCCTGAAAAGTGGCAGCTTACTTTCCACCCTGCGATGTGTCCGGCAGGTATAGCAGATCAATTTGTGACCTCTCACTAGATGGTGATTTCCACAGAATGACTATTCCCGTGAGAGTAGAAAATAAAATGCAAGGGTAAGGCACCATCATTCATGGTGGAGGACTTCAATTCTTTATATTACACCAGAAGGGCATATAACACTGTTGCATCAAAAGTTTATGATGATTCACTGTCGTCAATTCTATAACAAAGGCAACCCGGACAGGGTCAGTCATTGTTGGTACAGAAAAAACTATTAAGGCAGTATTTGATTAGAATATTTCAAAACCAGTTAAAATAATACCTCTATATGCAATCTCCACTTTAGTGCGATTTCTTCTTTTTATTTTTAATTTTAAGGGGGAATTACTTCGATCACCCAAACCTGAAACACTGACAAAGGCTTAAATGCTGCACAAAATTACAACATGCTCATAGTCCTTCCACTGTTGCACACGTTCGTGTACATGTGCACGCGCACACCCTCCCTCACTCACTCCCTTCCTCCCCCGCCAACTCATCACAACCCCCACCCAACTACCCCCCAACACACACACACACACACTGAGCGACTTACAGAATGTATTGCTTTGAGGCAATCAAACAGCCTCCCTGCTATTGCAACGTGAAAACACCAGGTTAATAATCAGGATTCAGCAGAGTGAATGAAAGCACGTTTACAACCGCTGGACTAGATGTGTGAATACTCCCGTGCACACTATAGGAACATTGGTCCTCCTAAAAATCACCCCCACGCATATTCATGCCGTCGTGACTCCCGATTCGTGACACTCTTATGCTTGCATATGTGTGTTTAATAGGGTAGAAAATGAAGCACTGATTTTGGGAGCCAGTGACAAGTCAGACGCTGGAAATAATGTCCCCCTCTACGTGCCACAAATGAAACAAAATGAGAATAAACATGCAGAAAAGTAATTCAAGCTCAAGCACTATAGAAACAATTGGCCAACAATTGCGCTGCTCTACCTATTAAATCCCGCATGATTCAGGCTCCCCACTCTCACCAAACGTGTGACAGATTTCACTCTGGCAAAAACAAATAGAGCCATAGGTGTCGCGGGGAATATGGGCATAACCCACCTTTGTGCATGCCCGTGAAGCGGTCTTTGAGCACAGTGAGCTCGTAGATTTTGCCGAACTCCTCGAAGAGGGGCCGGAGGTCCTTCTCATCCAGGTTGCGGGGGATCTGACCGATGAAGAGTTTGATGGCATCGTGGTCCTTCATGGGGATGGTGGCCGGGCATCCCGCCGGGCTGTGGCTGTGGTTTAATCCGTTCACGAGCCCGTTCGTGCTGGCGGAGACCACACCAACACCGTGCACCGTGCCGTCCACCTGCCCGTTGGTTAAAGTTGCCATCTTCGGACCGGCCAGTGAGTTGGGATGGGTACAACAGCAGCAGATGGTAATGGTGGAGTCTCGTTTTACGTTGGAAAAAAGCTGGTGGAAGTCTTGGTCAAAATTTGGTTCCGAGACCAAGCCGTACCAGGGATGGTTCCGCTCTCGTCCTATCAAAGCCAGTATTTACAATGATTTGAAAACACATGAAGCATTTGGCGAAGACGCATATCAAAAGCGCGCAGTGCCGTTGGTCCCGGTGGAGGCTTTGATTCCTTATATTTATGTCCTAACCAATAACTCGTTCATTGATTTCATAAAAGAGAGAGAGAAAGAGAGGGAAGAAGAAGGGGGAGGGAGAGAGAGAAGAGAGAGAGAGGGAGAGAGACCAAGAGCGTTCACTGTCTATTTACACCCACGTTCCTTCGTCCCAGCTTCTTGGCACCCTTTTATTTTTTTGCATTGAGGAGTCTGTATGGGTGTCTTCTCGGTTTAAACGAACAGGGTCGGTTCGATCTCTGCCAGAACAGAGGGGAGGTTAGAATAAAGGGGGGGGCGCTTTAAACTCGGCATATATAAACCCAGCATATTTCTGTCCCCCCCCTTTTCTTCGGCAAGTAGACAATGGTACATTCCACCGAGGGGAGAGGGTCTATAAATAGAGAGATATAGAGAATACGGTCCTTTGTGCTCCTACTCAGAGCAAATAACTACACTTTCAAGAACTTAAGAATGCAATACTTGGATGACTGACACACACACTCACACACACGCAGATACACAAAGACAAAGACTCTCTCACACACACACAGTTTTTATCAGGAGTAATAAGCCGTACAGCTATTTTCAGAAATGTACCTACTATTAAGTGAAAATAAACATTGACCACAAATTGATGGTGTCTGCGGTTAATCGGAGGTTTATTTATTGTTTTGTGTGCTTAAGTCACTCTGCATATCTTTCATCCACCTTCCTCATCCTCGGCGGCAGCAGCAGCGAGTCGCTGCATCCTCGCTTCGCTCCAGGACGGTGGACAGCTCCGTGGTGCTGAAACACAGCCTTACAGGCGAAGCTCAAAAATACACGAATGGAGAATTCCTCGCACGGCTTCGACTGTTCGCTGTTATCAAAAGCAAGCACAGCTTTTTGCAGTGGTTTAGACTACGTATTATTATTACTTTCTTCTGCCGTTTCGAAAGTCACACCGAATAGATTATTTCAATTTCAGAAAGGGGAAGTCTGTGAGCACCGCCGAGTGGCGTAGAGAGGGGGCACAAGGAAGAAAAAAGAAGAAGAAAAAAAGCCATTCGGGTTATTTCAGGTAATGAAGACAATTGGGGGGAGGGGGGGCACTACATTTTGATTCCATTTACACCAGAAATGAGCTCAAAATCATAAAAAAAGAAAGAAAAAATATATTTCCTGATCATTTGTTGATCATTTGATGAACTAAACATTCACTCAGCTTCTTCATCAAATCGTTTTCGCTTACGAGCCTGAAGGCATCAACAAATCTGAATTTAAATAAAACCGGAGGCCTTATTCTGATTATTTTGGCAATCCTTCATCATAAAATTGACAGTTTGAGCGAGTTAGGTGTTTACACATTTCCCATTGAAGGCATGCACCAATTGAAGGCGTGCTTATGTCTGTGATAAAAATGGACTAAACAGAATAACCTCTGTTATATAACAGCAAGTATCATCTGATTCAAACTACCGCAAACGGAAATCTGCGACGTTACACGGGAAAGGTGCAACGGCGGTGGATTTGAACATTCACTGTAACCAAAACCTTAGCTGAATATAAGATCAGATTGTTACACCAGCTTCCTATTAGCTTGGACAACGACCTCTCAGTGGGATAATTACCATTCCTGGTTGTTTCCTTTGGGAGTAAGTACATGTTTATCTGTATCCCCAGAGGAGAACAGCAACACCCGGGGTCTTGTTAGTGTTTAAATGATAAGAATGCTGATAATCCTGTTTGAATCCAATCTGATGAAAGCCATTTTAGCGGTCAGCAAAGCAGAATGTTAACGATGAATAACTCACAGTGACGTTAAGCTAGCTGGCTCTTGGCAGTTGTGTCTGCTGGACACTCCTTTTAAATAGAATGATTCAGACCCATTACCTCACAGTGGGCCCTTGGGGGACTGCCATGCGCGCAGCCATATGTACGCCGAGGTGCCAAAGTCAGGCCAGGGTATGACTCTTAAAATTTGTACTGTGCTACGTTGTTTTCCTCTTTTTTTGGGAGGGGGTGGGGTGGGGGGATGTGTGGAAACCCCACCCGACACCCCGCCCAGAAATTAGCTAGCCATTAAATAACAAAAGACACACTCTCACGGCGACACAGCGCCTCTCTCACCTCTTTCCGCTCTTCCGCCAGCTAAATGGCCCGGTAATGTCATCCCGTTCTCACGGCATGACCGAGCCCCAGCAGTTGCGGGGGTGGTGGTGATGGTGGTGGTAGTGGAGAAAGGAGGGGGGCCGGGGGGTGGGACTTGGCTTTCTTTGGCATGACACTGTGCTCTGCTCTCCAAGCTTTCCCTCGGGGCCACACTCCATTCACCACAGCAGTCCTGTCTGCCCTCACGCCTGAGTTACCTGCAGCAATATTTTTTAATACAGGGGTGAAATGGGAGGGCACAAATCATTGTAATTATGTTCAGTGGGTACTGTCGCGATGATTACGCAAGGTATGGCGCCACAACGGGTCCCTCGTGGTCTGCTTCGTCACACAACCTACCTGAGAGGTAGTGGAGAGGCTGCGGTGGCTGAGCCCATCGGACTGATGCCACGCAGTTAGCGAGAAAGACGTGTTACAGCGTGTCTGTGCACTCCCCAAATGGCACTTATTCCAGTCCATTTGGGTATACTCAAATACGACTGTGTAGCTCTTGCAAATCCTTTCCGCAATACTCAAAACACCCAGTCTGTCAGACAATTTCCACATTTATTTACAGTTATTTTATACCCCCCTTCATATTTGTTTGAAGCAATGGAATTATAATTAAGTTTTCAGTGCTCATTAGCAAAATAAATCAAGACTTGGACTGTTAATATTTACAGCCTCACAGATTGCAATTGTTTAACAGCAACAACAAAAAGGCTTTTAAACACAGGAATGCTGACTGAGATAAGCCTCTATCCACGGTGCTGAAACTAGTGGGAAGGCAAGCAAAGCGTGCCTCTGTCCGCGGTGCTAAATTTAATACAGCACAACGGTGGCAAGTGTTGCTCTTTAATAAGACAAGATGCCCCGATAAATTCTCGGTGACAAAGCTTAAGGCCTTGGAGAAGAATCTATAAACAAGGTGTAGATAATCATATGTAGAAATGCCATTTCTCACAAAAGATTCCTCTGAGCTCAACAAAAGAGGTCACTCTATCCCTCAGAAGATGGCTATTTTGCCTAGGAATATTGCTTCAATTTTCAGTTTCAGCACTGTAAACGGTTGCAGCAAGGCAAATAAATGAAAAGGGAAATGAAGTAGCCAAGTTACACAAATAGATTGATAATCTGCATTGGGCACCGTAAAGTGCTCTGGCGTTTTCAATATTACCTATTCTGCATAGTAATGTCTTTTCTCACCTCTCCTTCATATGGGACAAAGTTCTAAATCTCCTTTAGCCTTGGGACACTCGGGCTGTATATCACCTCTCAGTAATTTAGTAGGAAGAGCACAAAGGAACGAGGAAATGGCAGGCGCATGACTGAATGCTGAAAAAGTTTAGCGGGACAAGAAGGGCAGGGGGGGTCCTCTTTAACTTGATTAGCAACAATTTGCTAGAGATTGGAAGGGATGTGCCAGGAACAAAATTACTGCAGTAGTTTCAAATGTGCATCTTTTGAAAATGACACTGTGTTCTTGGCATAAGCCGGATCTATATCTACATAGATACAGATACCTATAGCTATAATATCTATAATATTATGATTGTTTAAAATGTATTTATTATATGCGAACATTCCAATCTAACTTACACATAAAACTATAGGTTTACTATGTGATAAATAAGGGGAGCTATAAATGTTAAGCACTTATTATGCAAATGCATATATACAAAAATAGCTGCTGATCCGGAGACAGAGAATTCGTTAATTTCCAGAGGGGGAAAAAAAGCACTTTATTGGGTCATGTGTGGAGTGAACAGTCTTCCAGTGGAAGTTTGTTGACACGGGGATGAGAGGCGGTGACTTATCTCCCCTTAGGCAAAAACAAACAAGGCCACAAACACATTCAATAACACATTAAACCTTTGGAATTATCTGCAAAGCGGCCTTGCAGCAGATGTGTGGCCTAAACATGTCTTAAAACCTTTGTTTAGTTTAATACACAACAGGAAATTATGAGCTTGATATAAAACTACATCCACATACATTTAGACCTTGTTTTGCATAATTAAACACAATAATGTAAGTATGCAAATCACATTCCACTCACCATTGGGCGATAAAAACCAAGAGTTCACCTTAGTTTATACAGTGCCACCATACTTGATATGACCAGGAATGTAATCCCTGTTGCTCTGTAAGAACTGGAAAATTAGTGGATTACACATATGCCATCATAATCTCAACAGGGTGCTATTTTTTTTATTAAGATAAATCCTGTAGATTTGCGAAATGCTGGATCTCAAGGGGCTCTTACTATGTGGAGCAATGAGGTGTGTGTACCTCGTGCCCCTGCAGTTATACCTGGCCTGCATTGGAAAGAGATTAGCGCTGTGACATTTGACATGGGTAGGCGTCTCTGCTTGTGCCGAGCGCCGGCTGCACAGATCAGCCATGCTGACAGCTCTTCTCCTTGACTGACTGGCTGCCCTGAAAACACACAAGCCTCTTTACAAACACCAGCTTCTTGACAACATCACCTATACACTCGATTGCACCGTGCACATTCCTACCTTTGACACCCACGCACACGCACAATTTCGCGCTCATAAATGTGACATATAATTAACCTAATTCTATTTCGTGTTCTTGCTGACAATAAAACTGGCTTGTTGGATCTGATGTCATACATGATACATGCAGTCAGTCATCACAGACCAAAAATGACTTCATTTACTCGCTGCTGTCTGAATCATGCAGCACCAAAATCCCATTTCCACCACAACAGATCAATTCCACAGAGAGGTCACGAGGTGGGATGAACTCTGACCCCTGGCTTTGTCGGTGCACACTGATGATACTCAGAGGGCTTGCCCCGGTTGTCAGGGTGATGTGACACCTCAGTTCTAGATAGGCAGCCATTTTGGGGCCACAATTTCCAACTCCAGTTTGTCATTAATTGCTCTGGGAAGGAAAACAGGACTCATAGGGGAGCACGATAACACCTGGCTGTTTGGTATACCCATGGGCAAAAAATGTCTTGAGAGAAGATGAGGTGTAGTGTATGTATCACTGTGTGTGAGAATACGTTTTGAACATGTGGCCATTTTTATATTGTATTTTCTACACACGCATACATTTAAATATCTGGAAATATCACAGTGGTTGCCAGAGAAT